GAGTTAGATGTAAAATACTAGTTTTACTATTCGCTTTAGTAATTTACATTTCTCGAAAACGTATCAAACAGTACACTATACCATCATGTGTCTCATCAGTTTTACTGTATATAACAATATTTTCTTCAAATTGTTCTATTAATATAGAAACAATAATGCACCTATGTCTTAATATGCAGTTGTTCTAAAATATAGAGTATAATGAGCCTTTGCAATATGAATTACATGCTATATTTAAGCTATATACAGTACTGTAGATTGCGGTAATGATTTCAGGTAATGTCATCTAATAATGGCATTTGATTTTCTGTGGTTATAAGATTCATCTTCATGTTAAAAGGATTTATGAGAATTTGCAAATCATTAAAATTAAATCCTAAAAAATAATTAAAATGTTCAAGCAATATTGTTGTATAATGCATAAAATACCCACAATGTTATTGCCTGCAGTAGACTGGAGTACTGTTTGTCCCTCTTGTGCAAATACTGTAGCTCTGCATAATGCAGTCCCTAATTTCACATTAATTAAAAGTCTGTGATGTACAGTGAATCATTGATTGATGCTATACACTTAATACAGGTATTATCAAAGCATGAAAACATTTTGAATTCTTCTCACTTATACATGCAGTATTTTACATTTACCACATTAGCTTTGAGAAAAATGTTTTGATATTTAAAACACTCTTGAGGTATAAAATCAGGTGAGTATTGTGATTTTTTCTCCCTATTTTAACACCATTTTCAATGCAAAACACTCATTCAAAAAATCTACAAAATGCAGGAAGAATCTCTATGGCTCTGTTAATGGAGCAAGCCTGAATCTAAACTCCTGATATCTACCAGCTGATGCCACAGAACATACACTTCTCAAAATCAAAGACATTTTTCAAAACCCCAGGTGACACCACTTCAAATCAGAACACCCAGTACCACTATCCACAATGCTAAGTACAAAGACTCAAGTTTTCTTTGACTCATCATTACTTACCAACTGTTCTTTCTGAGCTATGGAGTATCCTCTGCTTTGTCTTTCCCTGTACAGTTTTGACTGTGGTTGCCTGACAGATGTTAATATTGTACAAGCAGTTCAATCCCACTTGTACCAAGCCCAAAATACAGGATTATCTTCTGGAACCATCGGTGACATCTGTCTAGGCAGAAAAATAATGACAAATTCAGGCGAATCTGCTAGATCTACCTCTCGGGGCTTAGTTTTAAATGCAGAAAACCATAAAGAAAGCTGTGAGGTGCTGAAATTTGACTCAGGTGATTTTGATAAACAATGGTGAAATACCATAAGCTCACTAAAAGCTTTGCTTTTGTGAGTAATATTACTTTTGTTATACTGTACCTACTGGATTTGGGATCGGTAATTGTGTCTTTGTGTCACAGTTACAACCCTTGTACCCATACAGGGAGAATGAGAATGTGTAGCTCTTCTCCACCATTCTTTCTTCCAATTGGTCTATTAATCTTGTAAATTTTGACATTCAAGAAGCTTTGTACCATAGTGCAGGGGGTTCAGTACAAATTAGAGGAGAGGTACAGTACAGTATGTGCTTCATCATGTCACTATAAGCCTGCAGTTTCTCAGGAGGTTGCAGTGGTTGCTGTTTCATTGGATGCCGAAAGATTCAAGCCTGAATAATCCTAAACAATTGTGCATTTCTGCTTAAAGAATCGTTCACACAGATAACTAATGGTACAGGATCATAGAGCTCATCTTGCACTCACTGAAGCACATTTACTGGTTAAGCCTTCTGGGGCTCAAAGGGTAACTTCCCAAATTTCATATTATTTACTACTCTTTTACGAGAGAAAAGATTCCACCTTTATGCCATTTAATATCTATGAGAGGTGTACATGACAAAACTACTCCCAACTCTTGGTGGTATCCACGCATGTGCTCAGTTTGTGCTCTTCTGTGCCACTGAAAGTAAAATTTGTGATGCTTTCGTTCCCGACATATAGCGTCTTATTTTTCGGCATGTGATGTCACTCAGCTGCTCTGCAATGATGGAGAAGAACTGAACCGGTCAAATTCATTAGTGCTCTGTTAGTGCCAGGTCAAAGTAACGCCCAAGCTGTTTTTTTCCCCCTGAGATATAGGATCTTATTCTTTGGGTAATCAGGATTCGTTCTACAAGGAAGTTTACAGTCAGTAACACGTACTTGCAACTTGCTTTCTCAATCTGTCCGTGGAGCGTGGATATTTTGTATTCGAATGCCAGTATTTTATGCATGCTTGTGTGAACAGTAAAATTAAATCTGTAGACTTAAATACACTAAATGCAAGAAGAGTGATAGTGCTAAAGGAAGCAGTACAGCAAAAAATGAAATTAGGCAAATCCATATGCCACTTAAAAATGTGGGATACTGAGAACACTCTGGTAGAAATGTGACAGTGTGATCCACTTCTATCGGCACATACAGTATATTATGTAATGGGACTGTAGATGAGAGCCTGACAACTTGGCAGGATCTTTGCATTGATTCTGACATGGGATATTGACTGAGTCACGAAAGTAGCACTAACAGGACACAAAATGTATTTGATGGTCGACTTTCATATTTTCCACACATCCTGGAATTAAATGAAGAACTTCAAACTGAGAGGTGTCACTGCTTTCTATCCGCCCTCCAACATGTTCTTGGTCACCACATCACAAATTGCAAAAGACCCAATTTCACTGGGGAGGAAATATGATGACAAAGGCATTCATATCTGTGATTCTGCATTCTACACATTCTACAATGGAAAAAAAATAAAGGACTGTGACCTAAACATGTTATGTGAAAAACACACATTTTTTGACAACAATTAATTAAGAGTTTAAAGAAAGAAACCAAAAGAAGCAAGCATGTTGTAATATGAAACTTTCTGAGAAAAATACAAGTAAAATATGACATGGGATAAAAAAAATCTGCACTGTATTACACGATAGAATAGTTATTGCCTTTATTTCTCAAATATTATCCTTAAATATCTTTAAGCCACATACAGCAATTTAGATATTCTTGAAGCAAAGAATATACACTTTGCCTTTACAGCGTAATCATTATTTTTATACCTTCTGTTTTTAATTAAATAATTTTTTGTAGCAAAATATTTTTCTTGTTTTTGTCCTCGAGCTTGTAAAGTAGCCGAATGTACAGGATATTTCTGACAGTAAAGTCTTTTTTCATTTTCACGGCAAAGCACAGAGTGGATAACCCTTGAAAACAAGATGGCAACTGTATGTGTGCATTTGGTGTTTCTTTATTGTATTTATTTCTAGAAACTGGAAGAGACCAATTACAATCCATGCAGTGCATCATGCTTGTGGGGGATTAAAAAGGGCAAAACTATGCTCTGCGCGTTGTCTGGGTATTATCCCTTTTGTTTCCTGAACTCGAATTAGTTCAAACCTACTGTACCGTGCTTTGTAAAAGTATCCAGCCCCTTTAAACAGCATTGTGGCAGGCCATCAGCAGTGAGGATAATGGTTTTAGCTGATTTATCACTAGGTCGTCAAGGCCTCTTATATTTTTATATACTACAAGTTCACATGTCTTATATTGATTAATTAATTGGTGAATTAATTAGAGAGCCACATTTTTCACTTGGAGTAGATTTAGATTAGTTTGGTATATAAAGGGATCAGAGGTAGAGAGTTTTGGCTTAGTTTGGAGCAATTTGTTTTGGGCTATAGTGAATAGTTTTGTTAATAAATCTCTCATTCTATGTTAACTTTTTCATCGTAGTTTGTCAGGCCTGATGGGAGTCCTGCTGAGAGGTAGATCACATTTTATTGAATTACAAATTAAGTATACACTTCTTTAGGTGAATACACATTTGTTCCAGTCTTAATTTTTCTGGATATCTTGGGTTCATGTGGTGTAATAAAGTGTCATGGGTCATGACGGAAAGTTCAAGGTACTTTTGTACTTTTTCTTCGCTAAACTGCAAAACTCCATGTGACAAACAATAGCAATAGTTTTTCAAACCAGTCAGGAGAAACTATAAAACATTTAGCAGAATAAGTACTAAATAAACCTGAAATAATCTAATGTAGGTCCCCCCAGCAACATTGGACTGTGAGGCTGCAATAAACTCCTCACTCAATCTTCCTCACTCAATCCTCACTTCAACTGTAAAACTTACTTACTTGCCTGTCATGGGTTTTCCTCATACTCTCTGGGAAATGGGCTGTCAGAGTATAATGGCTTTGCTACCCAAATAAAGGAAGGATTAGGATTTAAAATGCTTTCAGCAAAAACCATCAAATATAAGTTTTATTTTGTGTACTGATAAGATGGTATTCATAGTTTAAAGATTGTATTGGTTTTGGACTTTTCATTTCTTGGTGATTTGAGTGAGTTTTTTTTCCCCCATGTACTGTACTACTGAGTTAAGGTATAGCCTTCCCCAGGTACAGTATAATCAAGCTCTCATTCTTTGTAGGAGTGACCTTATGTTGCTTAAGAAGGATTCTTCTCTTGTACTAATAGGATTATCAAAAATAGGTTTTGTTTGTCATTGGTCTAAACAAAAACTATGAATAACCTGTTATCTATCTTTACACCCCATTCATGAGGTGAGTGTAGCTGCATCTCTCACTAGGACAGGTGATTATGACTGGATGGAGGTGACAGAGGTGGGAATCAGACTCAGGTTCAAGTTTTGAAATGTAGAGCTAAGAGGAATTTATTTTTATGCAGTATGTGTGTTTCGTTGATTCTTTTGGCTGGCTCTTTTAGTCAAGCCTGTTTACAGAAGTTTCAGCTGCTACTTACCTTTAACACCAAATGTTTGTACAGATTTACCAAGCTGGGATTGTTGGGCAGTCTGTGTAAGGTACCTTACTCAAGCGTATGGCAGTAGCATTCCACCTGGTATTTAAAACCACAGCCTTGTGTTTCAAGAGTCCAGAGGTCCAATCACTGCCTTACTCTGCAAATAGTACAGTACATTAGCAAAAATAAAAATGGATAGTCTGGATTTTATTTAATAGCTTTTAAAGGTGATAAAGCTTAATGATTGAACTGGATTCCCTTCTTTCTTTAAAGATCAATACAAATTTTAATTCCTTTTACTGTCAAGTGACTTCAATTCAGTATAGGGATATTTATAAGCAGGACCTGGAACAACCTGCTGTTGGGCATAATGCAAAATTCGGAAGATATTCCTAAAACGGAAATGAGTGACCCATGTTTAAAAGGTTAAGCAACATGTGAAATCACAAAAGATTCATATAAAAGTGACCATTAAATTCGGTACACCAAACAACCTGTGAAGTATGGTAGTTACAGTAACCTATGTCGTAGTTTAGAGGTGAATTACTCTACAGCACATTTCAGAAATAATAGAGTATAGTATGATAATTCTACTGGCAAATGCTGATTCCAGATATGAGAGCTGGTGTTTTACCTGCAGCGCTGTTCGGAGAGCAGGGAAAGATGGACCAGAATGCTGGGACTGGGTCCTGTAATGTCTCATAATAAAGCTGGAAACGCTGAGTGGTAACAGAGGAAGAAGTGGTCTGAAAAAATAAAGGGGAAGGGTGTCTGTGCAAATAGGACACAAAGGAACTTTAATGGTTCTGCAAAAAATAAAGAAAAAAACCTGGACCAGACCCTGTTTTATAATGTGCTTAGAGATTAGTAAGGAATTAAAGAGGACAGACTGGATACAATCGGAAACTAAAGCCAGCGTGTCAGTTAAGGATACTATATGGTCGGAGCTTTGTGAGGAAGCAATCTTAATTAAAGCAGCTGTGGTCTTGGAGGTTTGCAGGGAAGGGATTGCACACAGGGACTCCTTTGTGTGGAGTCAGGATGAAAGCCAAGATTTGGGGGATTTAGAGATTTCTCAAGTTCACTGTTAATTTGTTTCTAATTAGCCATCCAGGTTAAATGCCTTTAGACTTTCTCTGGAAAAAAAATCTGCCCAGACACCTACAGTATATGAGCTACAATGAAAGAGGTTATTTTGTGAGAGGCTTAAGAGTATTTCAGATTCCTGGGGAGAGACCTGAGAGTGCAGAGCCAATGTGTTGATAACTAGCCTGCTCTAAAT